ATGTCATCCGCTGCTACATGAACGATCCGGAAAGTATCATGCTGATATAGTTTGGCAGAAGGAGAGAGACAGATACAGAGTGATCACTCTCGTATGTGGAGTCTAAAGAAACAGAACAGAGGAATGACAAATGCTCAACGGTGACAGAAACGCAGTAGGAAGCAGAGCCCAGTGGGAAGGGTGTGGAACTGGGATGTTTTGTGTATGAAACCACATCAGTAACACTTTTGTAAGCCTTGGTGTCTAAAATATATATATTTTGTTCTTTAAAAGTCACATGATGGGGCTGGAGCAATAGCACAGCGGGTAGGGCGTTTGCCTTGCACGCGGCCGACCCGGGTTCGATTCCCGGCATCCCATATGGTCCCCTGAGTACCGCCAGGGGTGATTTCTGAGTGCAGAACCAGAGTAACCCCCTGTGCATCGTCAGGTGTGACCCAAAAAGAAAAAGTCACGTGATTGTAACTGCTGACGGGGCAGGGAATACAAGAACGAAAGGAAATGGGGCAACTTTCTTCTATCAAGAGCCTCTGGATGTCGGCGGGCTGAACCACAGGCTACAATCCTCAGCCCCTAACAACGAGCACTGACGGTACGACACTGGGCTGGATGCTTGCTTCGAAACTCCTACTTAAACTCTTACTAAGTAAATAAACCTGCTTCATGATGGTTTTGTTCCTTGTTTTCTTTTGTTTGCTGGGGGGTTGGGGGCGGGTACACCCAGCAGTGATCCTGGCCGGGTTCGGGGAAACCATATGTGGTACTAAGAATGACCCGGGTCAGCTTGAGGATTTTTTAAAGCTGGTTTGGTCATTCTATGACCAGAATATTTCTGTTTAGCACATACCCCTGTCTGTGTTGTGACCCCAAGATCCCAGGTACACTGGGACAGAGAAGGTGGCTGAGGGTCCCAGGCAGGAGGGCTACATGAGTGGAGGTGTCCAAGTGACAGATGGCCTGAGTGACTCTCAGGTCATCGCCAGCACCAGTTCAGGGTGGCAGGCAAGTAAATTTTTTTTTTAAGATTTTCTTCTTTTTTTCCCTTTTTTCTTTTCTTTTTTTTTTTAAACACCATGAGGTAACAGTTGTAGACTTACAAATTTTTGTGAACGCTACAAGTGGATTTCTTGAGTGCTGATGATGCCAAGAGAACTGAGGCAGAACTTCACCAGATCTGATGCCCAAAGTCAGCCACACAGCCGAGCGCCCCGAGATAGCACGGGAACTTACACACAAATCTCCTACACCTGCTCTTTCTTTGCTCGAGCGGGCCCAGTAACGTCTCCATTGGAGACTTTGTTGTTACTGTGTCTGGCATATCGAATACTCTCGGTAGCTTGCCGGGCTCTCCGAGAGGGGCGGAGGAATCGAACTCGGGTCGGCCATGTTGGCCACTTGTAAGGCGAACGCCCTACCCGCTGTGCTATCGCTCCAGCTCTTTCTTTAGCCTTTAGAAAACACAAACTCCCGCTCTGAGCCCCACATGCCTCTCCCTTAAATACAGGGTACCACTGCGGACAGACGGCTGGGGAAACTGGGAATCCAAGAGGACCTGGGTTATCTAGAAGGGATGTTTAAAACTGGAAGAGGATTTGACCCAGCAATACCTCTCCTGAGAATATACCCCGGAGAGGCTAAAAAGTATAGTCAAAGTGACATCTGCACTTGTTTGTTCATTGCAGCACTCTTTACAATAGCCAGAACCTGGAAGAAACCTGAATGCCCAAGAACAGATGACTGGTTAAAGAAACTTTGGTACATCTACACAGTGGAGTACTATGCAGCTCTTAGAAAAGATGAAGTCATGAAATTTACGTACAAGTGGTACTACATGGAAAGTATCGTGTTAAGTAAAATGACTCAGAAAGAAAGGGATAGACACAGAAAGATTGCATTCATCTGGGGGACATAAAGTAACAAAATAGGAGACTAACACCCAAGAATGGCCGAGATTAGTATCAGGAATTTTACTCCATGGCTTGGAGGCCAACCACACATGCTAGAGGAAAAGGGAGCTCAGATAGAGAAGGGAGCACCAAATAAAGGGTGCTGGGAAGATCTGCCCAGGATGGGCGATGCCTACTGAAAGTAGTCTATGGACTGAACATGATTGCCACCCAATGTCTCTTCTGCAGACCACAGCACCCAAAAGGAGAGACAGAACAAAAGGGAGTGCCCTGCCACAGAGGCAGGGTGGGATGGCGGGGATGGGGGGTGGGAGGGATACTGGGATCTGTGGTGGTGGGAAATGGGCACTGGTGGAGGGATGGGTATTTGATCATTGTATGACCGAAACCCAAGCACAAAAATGTGTAAGTCTACAACTGTACCTCATGGTGTTTCACTAATAAAAAATAAATAAATAAAACCGGAAGAGGGAAGGCTATGATAGGCAAAATGAAACAACTGCAGTGAAAACACAAGAGGTAACTACAATCAGCACCCCAGGAGCCTGGTGGGTCTTTAAGAAGATCACTCCCAACTCAGAAACAACACAAAGAAGAACAGGAACAGCTCATGGGTGAAGAGAAGCACAAAACATTGTTGACCCAGTCTGCGAGCCACCTAAAAGTCCATACACGCGCACACACACACACACACACACACACACACACACACACACAACTTCACCAGTGCGCATATTCCACCACCAATGTCCCCAGCTTCACCCCGGGCTGTCCCCTTCAGCCTGACTCTATGGCAGACACTTTTCTACTTTTTAAAAAAAATCTCATTTTACCTTTCAGGCACTGTGGTTTGCAATGGTGTTCTTAAATTTCCTTTTTCTTTTTTTTTGCTTTTTTGTTTGTTTGATTTCTTTTTGGGTCACACCCGGCAATGCACAGGAGTTACTTGTGGCTCTGCACTCAGGAATTACTCCTGACAGCGCTTGGGGGATGATATGGGATGCTGGGAATCGAACCCGGGTTGGCCGCGTGCAAGGCAAACGCCCTACCCCTGTGCTATTGCTCTAGCTCCTTAAGTGGTTTTGTTTCACATATTGTTTGAATGAATGTTAAGGAGAAGGATGGAATTTAATACATGGGCTGACTATCTGTGTTTCAGACAAGGCCAGTACCATCGCCCAGGCGTAAAGGGCCAGAAGGAAGGAGGGCTAGGGCCACCATGTGTTCTATCGTTCGGTCCATTTTCTGTCTTTATGCATTTCCCAAGAAATTCAAGAACCGGGTGAAAACTCGGCACTTATGAAAACGTGTTTTTTTTTTTTTTTAAGTTTTGGGGCTACACGCGGCGATGCGTTGACTCCTGGCTCTGCGCTCAGAAATCACTCCTGAGGGTGCTTGGGGACCGTATGGAATGCTGGGGACCCAACCCTGGTCAGCCCCGCGTATGGCAAAGACCCCCTTGCTGTACTATCGCTCCAGCTCCCAAAATCAGATTTTTAAAGAAAAGTCTCAGGAGTGATAAAATATAACCCGCGGGATTCCTGGGCACTACAAACCTCGGAGCGAAAAGGGGGGAAAGCGACATGGTGAGGCAGTGCTGAAAAATTTCAGCCCTAAAAGCAGGAGCGCCACTTTGCAACTCTCCTGGGAAACCCCGGGAGGAGGGACCACACAGCACTGCTGACCACTGGGGCCGTGTCAAAAACTGCTCACAGATTTCCCGATACTTGGGGATGTCACCCCTTTGTGCAAGAAACCGTAAGATGAAAAGCGACCAAGCGCTCACAGCAAAAATAAATTAGCTATTTCTTGTCTATTACTTCCAGCGACAAAGAACATGCCCTCGAGGAATAAATGCCAATTAGTACTAAAAACATGCAGGATACTGTCACGCGTTTTCTTTCGGTAAAAATGTTTTCATCGTAGCACTCTTTTAAAGGATAGAACTGGCAGCTCTTGGCTTTTGTGGTTGCGTTCAGGCACCAAGAGATGGCATCTCCGGGCTGCTGAAAGGCCTGCTTTTCGGTCCTAGCAACACACAATCCCCCCACGGATTTTGTGCACGCATTATTTATTGATGTCCCCGTATTCTAACAATCAGAAGTTCCACGGGTTGATCAAAGATTCCTGAACACGCACCAGCTGAGCTTCCTCACCGTCAGCAACCAGGCCGAAAGAGAAATGCCAACCGATTCTTCTGGACTTCGCTAGAATCAAAGTAAGGACAGGGACGAGCTACCCGTCGCACGGCGACTCAGGCGACTCAGGCGCCAGGTTCCTTCCACTCCCTCTCCATCCCGCCAGACAGTTCCTTTAGAAACTGCCAGGAGGCGGCCACAACGGACCCGGGAACGTTGGGGTGGGGGGGGGGGGGGCGCGTCTCTCTGGCCCATCAAGTCAAAGGCACCTCGTTACAGCAAGGAAAACTCTTCCTCTTAGCAAGGTCAGGTGGCCTGAACGCGTCCCCAAAGTACAGAGGCCGATCCCCGCGTCCACGCTCAGTCCCCGCCTATGGGCAGGGACAGTCCCGGCCCCCGGCGCGCGCGCGCGCTGCCCGTGGGGGGGGCAAAGGCCAGCAGGAGCCAGCGCGGGGCGCGGCTGGGGAGGCGCAACGAGCGCGCACGGCCCACGGGGACCCCGTTTCCCGCGCGCACGGCCCGCGAGACCCCCCCTACCGCGCGCACGGCCCGCGGGAACCCCGTTTTCCGCGCGCACGCCAGCTGGAACCCCGTTTCTCTGCGCGCTCGACCCGCGGGGACCCCGTTTCCCGGCGCGCAACGCCAGCGGGGACCCCGTTTCCCAGCGCGCACGTCACCGGGAACCCCGCTCCCGGCGCGCTCGGCCAGTGGGGACCGTTTCCCGCGCGCACGCCCGACGGGGACCCCCGTTTCCCGCGCGCACCCCAACGGGGACCCCCGTTTCCCCCGCGCTCGTTCAGCGGGGACCCCCCCCCCTTTCCCGCGCGCACAGTCACCAGGGATCCCGTTTCCCGCGCGCTCGCCGGGCGGCGGGGACCCCCGTTTCCCCGCGCGCACAACCAGCAGGGATCCCCGTTTCCCGCGCGCGCGGCCCGCGCGCCCCTCCCGTACTCACGCGCACGGCCAGCGCGCCCGCGCCCATCCCGCAGGAACGCCCCGTCGAACCGCTGCGGGCCGGGCCGGGGCATCAGAACCGCGGCGGGGGGTGGAGGGGGGGGCTGCAATCCCGCCGCGCGCACCCGCTTCCCCTCGGACCCGCCCCCCGACGTTTGGGGGAAGCGCGAGGGCCCGGCCGCACCCCACCCCCTGCCGTCCCCACGTGGCCGCGGCGACTGAAACCCGAGCCCGAGCCGCTAGTACTGGCCCGCCCGGCCCTCACGTCACCGCCCTGACCGCCCGGGCCCGGCCTCCTCCCGCTGAGGCTTCATTCCTCCGACCCACCGGCTGCAACGCTGGGAAAAACGCCAGCCCGCTCGGTCGGGGGTGGCTGTCCCTAATATGTGCCTGCTGTCTCTCAGAACATGCACACATGAAACGTCCAGGTTTCAAATCGACGGGCGCTTGAACAATTTTCAAGCAGTTGAACTGATACCGAACACACCCTTTTTCCAATAAGTCAGAAAGAGACTAGCCTATTTTGATGTTTATGCCAGTTTTTCCTTTGTCAGATGGTTGATTAACTGGCACACTTAAGAGAATGCTAGAACCTAGTACAAGATTTCACTTGCACCCAAGACTGAATATTATATAATAAAGGTCTCTTTTAAGGGGAAATATAGGAAGGAAAGAAACGGGGGAAATCAATGGGATGATCTTTTGAAAAAAAAATTTTTGAATGACCTCCCTCAAATCTGATAGCATCTTAAAATCTACAGTCAACCAAAACTACTCACAGCAAAGCCAAGAGAGAAACCCCTACTAAGCAAGCCACAGGACTTCAGGACTTTTTATTTTTATTTTTCCTTTTTTTTGGCGGGGGGTGGGGGGCGTCATACCCGGCAATGTACAGGGGTTGCTCCTGGCTCTGCACTCAGGAATTACTCCTGGTGGTGCTCGGGGGACTATACGCGATGCTGGGAATCGAACCTGGGTTGGCCGCAGGCAAGGCAACCGCCTTCCCCGCTGTGCTGTGGCTCCCGGTACTTGCATTTCTGTGCGCACACGCGGACTGTTGCAGAGACCAGTTCCACAAGGCCGAGTAGCACCATCTCACCAGGAATGAAGTGGAAGGAGGAGGAGTAATCTCTTCTCCATGAAATACAACAAAAAGTCATATCCCTTTGTTTCCATGCACCTGTTAGAAAAACTAGGATGATTATGAAAGAAAAAGGTCATAAAAGAACCCTTTTCTAGCATGATAAAAAAAATTATCTTCTGTTTCTGGTTATGTAAGAAATGTCCTTCCATGATGAAAAGCAAAAGATTGTCTACCCAAAGGCCCCTCATCCCCAGCTATAAATCATATCCATTACCAGCACACCACCAGGCCCAGGCACCACGCTACACAATTTATAGACAAAAATAAGAAAAATAGGGTCTAGAGAGATAGCACAGTGAGTAGATCCCTCCCTTACCTTCCTTGTAACCAACCAGTGTTCTACCCCCCCCCCAAGGGTTTCCTGAGCCCCACCAGGAGTGATCCATGAGTGCAGAGCCAGAAGTTCTCCTGAGCATCACTGAATGTGGCCCCAAATGAAAAAAAAAAAAAAAGGGAAAAAGTGCACCTTCTCCCAGAGATAATCCAGTGAGGAGAAGGAGGAAAAGCATGAACAAATATTTTGGTTCGAAGATGCTTAAAAAGCAGATAGAAAATAAATGAAAGAGTAGAATGAAGATAAATGAAAGGACTTCAAGAATCATTTGACATACTAACTTTCTTTTCTCTTTGCCAAACACAGCAACAACAAGTCTTACAATGGAGACGTTACTGGGCCCTCTTGAGCAAATCGATGAACAATGGGAAGACAGAGCTACAGTGCTATGCTTTTTAAAAAACATGAACTTGAATCTCTGATCCTTCTGTTTCAGTTATCACTTGACCTGTATCACAAGCCTTCTGCCATATTGTTGATAATATTATTGCTCTCTTTAATATATTTTACACTTTAATGTATATTATAAAGTAAAGGCCCTCCCGTTGATCGTCGATTTGCTCAAGCAGGCCCAATAACGTCTCCATTGGAGACTTTGTTGTTACTGTGTCTGGCATATCGAATACGTCACGGGGAGCTTACCAGGCTCTGCCGTGTGGGCGAGATACTCTCGGTAGCTTGCTGGGCTCTCCGAGAGGGGCAGAGGAATCGAACTCGGGGTGGCCATGTTGGCCGCTTGTAAGGCGAACGCCCTACCACTGTGCTATCACTCCAGCCCAATATATTTACGTAGTATATGTATATAGTAAAAATGTGTATTACATTTTTATGTATAAAATTTAGTCATTATTTATTCTGACTATTTTGAGTCATATCCAGTGAAGCTCATGAGTTACTCCTGGCTCTGCACTCAGGAATTGCTCCTGGCGGTGTTCAGGGGACTGTCTGGGATGCCGAGTATTGAACCCAGTAGGCTGCAAGCAAGGCAAATGCTACTCTCATTCCAGCCATCATCCATTTTTAGGCGTTTACATGGATTCTGAATTTGGGTGCATGTAAGTTCTGTTTGCTTGTCTTTATTTGCTTGGAGATCACACCCAGCTATGCTCAGGGATCCCTCCTAGTGGTGCCAGGAATCGAGTCCAGGCCAGCCAAGAACAAGTGTCTTAGCCACTGCACTGTTCCTTGGGTCCCAGACACGATTGTTAAATAATGCTTTCTCAAGGCTGAAGCGATAGCACAGCGGTTAGGGCATTTGCTTTGCACGAGGCCGACCTGGGTTCGATTTCCAGCATTCCATATGGTCCCCCAAGCACTGCCATGAGTGCTTTCTGAGTGCAGGGCCAAGAGTTACCCCTGGGCATCACTGGGTGTAACCCAAAAAGAAAAAAAAACATAAAAAAAAAAACATAATGCTTTTGTCTTCAGAAAACTGATTTTTTGTTTATTTTATTTATTTATTTATTTATTTCCTGCCCCTGCCCCTGCGCCTGGCTGTTCCTCACCGGGGTCCCTTGGAGGGGAGCGGGTTGAGCTTTCCTCCCCACCCTGACCAGGGCTCCGCCAGCCAAAGACCTCCAGGACCAGCCACCACCATGCTGAGACCACTCTCCGCACACATGAAGGTACTGGCAGAGGGACAAAGCCACGCGGGTTCCGGGGCCGAGATCTCCAAGCCTACTCCGATTGGAGTCGAGCATCCTCCACCCAGATCCTCCAAATTCCAGTAGGCGGGGGTCACACCCACCACCTGGCCCCCTGGCGCCGTGTAATCCCATCAACGGCCAAGACTCAGAGACTATAAAATCCAGCTCCCGGAACCGCGTGGCCGTGTTTGTGGCCGCGCGACATCTCATCATCTTTTTATGACATCTTATTATCTCATTCCTACTTTGGACAAACTTGCAGGCTATTGAATGTAGCCTGCCCACACGGCAGAGTCTGGCAAACTCCCCGTGGCATACCCAATATGCCAAATACCAGTAACAATGATGGGTCTCATTCTCCTAAAGAGCCTTGAATATAATCTCAGGGCTAGGATGAAAGAGACGTTACTGGGGCCTGCACGAGGCAATCGACGAATATTTATTTATTTATTGAATCACTGTGGGAAAAGTTACAAAGCTTTCAGATTTAAGTCTCGGTCATGCAAATATCAAACACATTTCCCTTTACCAATACTTATTTTTCACCACGAAGAACCCCAATAACCCCCCCACCCCTCCCAATGCCTGTGAGGCAGATGAATTCTAGTTAACACTCTAACTACTTTGATTAGATTCATTGTTTCGACAAAACATGCACCATTATTATTTAGAGTTTACACCGCCAAATCAGACATGCTGAAAAGGCATTCTGAAATGATTTGTTTTCTACAGCTGGTCACAAGAATAAAATGATGTCACGCGGCCACAATAGTGGCCACTTATTTTTGGATTTCTGATATTTTACTTATTAAGCCTGGAAGTATTTCTGTTGAGAGTCAGATAATTATGAGATTGGTTTCTGTGCTCTGGAGCCATGGCCATGCCGGAGAGCTGCTCGTGGGGGACAACTCATGACCTTGGTAGGGCGTGAAGGATGAGCCGGGAATGCCCCCCCCTTCCCATGAGGTTTCAGTCGCCCCATCATGACCAGCTCATACCTGGCTTTCCATAAAGCTTCGAAGCCAACCTGTTTATTTTCAATGAAGATTTTTGAAAGGGAAACTTCTGGATGCCAGTGAAAATGAACAAGTACTAAGTAAGGTCTTTGACCACAACTGGCTTTAGCAGTTTGTTTTCTACAATTCACATTGTCCAAATTTAAATATTTTGTAAAGATTTCCAAATTTAATCTGATATTTAATTACCAGTAAAATTAAAATACAAGTAATACTCATTAATCATCTGTATTTGTTATTTTGTATTTGATATCTTTGATAAATTTTCTTTGTCCGTTTATCAATGGGAGTCTTGGCAGTTTAAAGTCTTTTGTGAGATTATTGGGATGACTAAAAGATACAATCTATTAAAAGTACTTAATGCAGGAACGGGAAAAAGAAAAAGAAAAAATTTCGAAACCCTCATGTAGATTGACTATATTGAAATTTATTTTTAGGTATAGATAAAATAAGGTTCTAAGTTGATTTGAATTTTAGCTACTATACAGTTCCTGTGGCTTAAACACTATGTAATATTTTTTTCTGGTAAATATAACTCTTCTTAGTGTAGCAAGCGTGAATATCCAGCTATAGGCCCACTTCCCAATGTGATTTGAAGTAGATGACCACATGTTCATATGTCCACTCAACTGTAGAATGTGACTAGTAGATGTGCAACTTCCTGGTCACATGTTTAATAGAAAATTCTTTCAATCCATGAATGTGAAACATTTTTCTATTTCCTGGTTTTGTTTAATAATGACAAATACATGTCTTCAATATTTTCTTTCACACCCTTTGTTGATTCCTGAGCACTTGATGTTTTGGGACCCCCAATATACATAATTTATTTTAAATGCCTTCCCATTTGTTGTTTCCTTATGTAGAAATGACAGATTTTTGGGCGTTGATTTTGTTTATTACTTTATTGTTTTATTGTTTCTAAGAGGTTTTTTTTTGCTGTATTTAAGGTCTTCTATGTATATTAACGTGACATCTGCAGATAGTTATAATTTAATTTCTTCTTTTCCAGTTTGAATTCCTTTGATTTTTGTCCTTGATTGTGTGCTGTGGCTAGGATTTTTGATACATTAATTAATAGTGGTCACAGCAGATGTACTTGCCTTTTGCCAGGTATTAAAGAGGTGACTTACAGTTTTTTTGATCATTAAATATGATGCCACTGTGGGTTTGTTGTATATGACCTTTACTATCTTGAGGTAAGTTCTACTTTCTTGAGTTTTCAGTCACAAACAGGTGTTGAATGTTGTGTTTCTCTTCAACTGCTGGTATGACTTTTATTGTTTTTTCCATTAATATGTTAATCACATTGATGATTTGTGATATAACATATCAATATACCTTTGCATCCATGAAATAAATCTCACTGAATTATGGTGTATGGTTTGTAAGATGCTTTTCATTATTTTACATTTATATTAATCAGGGGACATGATCTATCATTTTCTTCTATTAGTAATATGTTTGTGTACTATGCTAAATTGACCTAATAGATGCTCTTATGAAGATTCCTGTTTATCTGATTCTGAAAGAGTCTGAGGAGTATAGGTGATTGTTCTTGTTTGAAGTTTTGGTATAACTCATTAGTGAACCAAGAACTTCAACATTTTAAAGATTTAAGATTTTTTTTAATTTTTAAGACTTAAGAGGGTGTCTTGGGTATAGAAAAATGATGGAGAGTCGCTGGCACAGAAAGATGGAGCAAAGCTGAGACACAGAGAAGTGACAACCAGAAACTCCCCGTGCCCAGCGATCCTCTTAATAGAAAAAGAATCCCCAGCAATTAATTTTCTCTCCTGCCCGCTAATCAAAAAATCTGCCACAGCTTGTGGCCACCCCTCCCCCTTAACAAAAAAAAAAAAGGAGCAAAGTCTGCAAAGGAAACAAATTCCCTGAAGTCCAAACGTTTCTTGGTAACGCTCATGCACAAAACGAACCCCCAGCGCTGGGGGTCCGGCGTCGGGGCGCATCTGCCGGCTGCAGCAGCTGCTCTGCGGGCGGCTTGGGGGAAGGGACCAGCCGTGCGCTGTGCCCGCCTGAGTCTGCCCAGGTAGAGAGAAAAGAGCAGAACCAGGCGGAAAGGGATGGGGCCAGGGCGGAAATCAAACCCCAGGGGCTGCGGGAAAGGGAGCGACGCGATTTCTCCCGGGGGGACCTCAGCGCGCACCGTGCCACCCGCCGGGGGCCAGAGGAACCGGGAAACCCGGGTGGCCACCACCGTGCCACCCGCTCTGGCTGGGATCCTGAACTCTTCTCTGATGGGCAGCGACCCACCTGCCGGGCGCCAGCTCCTTCCTCACTCCCTCCCAGCATCGGGGGTTGGGGGCCGACTGAAGCCGGGGTCCCCGCGCGCACCCCGCCCCAATGCGCGCTGCAGCCCGGGCTGCCCAAACTGGCGGGGAACCGAGGCACCGAGGCATCTGTCTCCCTCTGCGTCCAGCCTCGGGACGTCTAGGTGGGCAAAGGCTTCGCGGGCTGCCGGGGTGGGGGGCGAGGGAGTGTGGGTGCCTTGGGGCGCAGCGGTCCGAGCGCACCGCCTCCGCCCTGCAGAACAAACGCTCCTGTGCGTCCTTTGTTGCTACAGGGCCGCAACAGTGTGGCCTTTGCAAACCCGCGACGCCACCCCGCGCTACTTTGTGTTTACTTTGTGTTTACTTTGGGTGTCGGAAGGTCAGACCGTAGGTTCAAGTGTCCGAGAAACTTGACCTGAAATTTTCCCATTTCCCAAAGCTCCGGGCAAGCCGGAACAAACAGGCCGCGCCCTGGGCGTCAGGTGCTGCGGGACGCAGGTGCAGCGGTGCCGATCGCCGTCCCCACCCACCCCGACCCCGGGAGGCCGGCACGGAGAGGAGCGACCCCTGGCATCAACGGGCGAGACCCCTGACAAGAGCAAATCCTGTGCAAGCCAGGAGGACCCGCCCGGGACGTGGACGCTGGAGCCAGGCCTGCTGCAGTTTGCAAACACTAGCCACGTGCACGGCCCCCTCCCCGCGCGCGCGCGCGCCCTCCCGCCCCACCCCGCACCGCCGCGCCCCGGAACACCGCCCGCCGCGCGGGCAGGCACCGCCCCCGGGGGCTCGGCGGAACCAGCCGGCGCCCAAACAACGCCACCCCCGAGGCGCCCGACGCTGCGAGCTCTCCGAGGCCCCGCCCCGCCCCGCCCCAGGCCCCGCCCCCAGCAGAACGCGCTGCTTCCTCGGCCCCGCCCCTTCCCGGGGAGCCACGCCCCCTAGCCTGGCGCGCTCCCTCACACCAGCCCTACCCTCGTGGGAGGCCACGCCCCCACGCGAACCCCTTGCTTTCTGAGGCCCCGCCCCGCCCTAGGCCACGCCCTTCCTCAGGGAAGGCTGCCATTCTCGCAGCCGGCCCCGCCCCTCGCAGGAGGCCCCGCCCCCTGAAGGCGCAGCACGGCCCTCTGGTTGGCCCCGCTTGCAATTAGGCCCCGCCCCCAGATTGAGGCCCCGCCCCCCTCGGGTGAGGCCGCATACCCCCCCACCTAACGCCGCGCGGTAGCTCTCGCAGGCCCCGTCTCTCACGGGAGGCCAGCCTCCTAAGCGCTGCGAGGCCCCGGCTCAGGCCCCGCCTCCCGCGGGAGACCCCGACCCCTAAGGCTGTGCGGCCTCGGCTCAGGCCCCGCCCCACTCAGGCCCCGCCCCCAGAGCTCTCTTGCAGTTAGGCCCCGCCCTCAAGGCCACGCCCCGTAGCGCAGCGCGGCCCTCTCGCAGTCAGCCACGCCCCTCAAAGCCCCGCCCCTAGAGCACCGCGGCCCTCTCGCAGTTAGCCACGCCCCCAAGGCCGGCCCCGCCCCTAGAGCCGCGCGGTCCGCTAGCAGTTAGGCCCCGCCCCTCTCAGGCCCCGCCCCCAGCGAGCGCGGCCCTCTCGCAGCTAGGCCCCGCCCCGCGTAGGCCCCGCCTCTCCCCGGCCCCGCCCCGGCGTTCCCGCGGGGGCGCGCGCGTGCTCCCTAATCCCCCGCCTTCCGGCTCCGGCGGCGCCGCTCGCCCCTCGCCCCCCGCCGCCCCCCGCCGCCGCCGCAGCCTCGCCCGCGCTCCCCGGAGGCCGCGCCCGCGGGAGGAAGGCGGCGCCGCGCCCGGGGCGCCCCGCGGGCTGCGCGATCTGCGGCGGGAGCCGGGGCGCCGGGGCGGGTCTCCTGCAGCGTCCGGAGCCCCCCGCGCCCGGCAGCGCCCTCCGGGAGCACGTGGACCGGCGCCGGGAGTGGGACCCCGGCCCCGGGAGCCTGCCCGCTGCCCGTGCCCGGTGCCGGGGCTGCGGGACCCGGCTTTCCGCCCCGCGCTCGCTGGCCCTGGGGCCCCGCCTCTTCCCCCCCCCCCCAGCCGGGCCTTGCCGGGCAGCCGCGCGCCCCCGCCCTTGCCGCCCCCTCTGCACGCCCCCCTGGCCGCTCCCACCCTTGCCGCCCCCTCTGCACGCCCCCCTGGCCTCCCCGGGGACAGCCAAGGAGCCGCCGCCGCACCTGCCCCCGCGCGATGCGCCCCGCGGCGCCGCAGGATCCCGCTGGACACTGCCCTGCTGACCCGCAGTCCCCGCGGGACTGGCTGCTCCCCGGAAGGCGGTAAAGTAAGTGGGGAGCGGGCGAGAGAAGGGGGCCGGGGGTCTCCAGGGCCAGAGCCGGGGAGCTGCGGGAGGGAGCGCCCACCCCGGGAGGATGCGCGTCTGGCCCGGGAGCATCCTCAGCAGCGCGCGCCCCCGTCTGTCCCCCCCGCCCAGTGTCCAGGTGGCCGTCTCCCCGCGCCCCGGCCCCCCTAAGATGCTCGGGAAACGCAAGCGCGTGGTGCTGACCATCAAGGACAAGCTGGACATCCTGGCGCGGCTGGAGGAGGGCGTGTCCTTCAAGCGGCTCTCGGCGCTCTACGGCATCGGCGAGTCCACGGTGCGGGACATCAAGAAGAACAAGGAGCGCATCGTCAGCTACGCCAGCAGCTCGCACCCCACGAGCGGCGTGTCCCGGCGCAAGTCCATGAAGTCGTCCACCTACGAGGAGCTGGACCGGGTCATGATCGAGTGGTTCAACCAGCAGAAGACGGACGGCGTGCCCGTGTCCGGCACCGTGTGCGCGCGGCAGGCGCGCTTCTTCTTCGACGCGCTGGGCATGGAAGGGGACTTCAACGCGTCCTCGGGCTGGCTGACGCGCTTCAAGCAGCGCCACGGCATCCCCAAGGCGGCGGGCAAGGGTGCCAAGCTGAAGGGCGACGAGGGCGCCGCGCGCGAGTTCTGCGGGGCCTTCCAGGAGTTCGTGGAGAGGGAGGACCTGCAGCCCGAGCAGATCTACGGGGCCGACCAGGCCGGGCTGTTCTGGAAGTGTCTGCCTTCCCGGACCCTGGGCCCGGGCGCCGAGCAGAGCGCGGCCGGCCACCGGGCCAGCCGGGAGAGGATCATCATCATGTGCTGTGCCAATGCCACGGGCCTGCACAAGCTCGACCTGTGCGTGGTGGGGAAGGCCAAGCGACCCCGGGCCTTCAAGGGCACCGACCTGGCCAGCCTTCCCGTCACGTACTTCAGCCAGAAGAGCGCGTGGATCGAGCACGCGGTGTTCAGGCAGTGGTTCGAGAAGCACTTCGTGCCCCAGGTGCAGAAGCACCTGCGCTCCAAGGGGCTTCCAGAGAAGGCCGTGCTGCTGCTGGATTTCCCCCCGGAGCATCCCGGCGAGGAGCCGTTGCGGTCCCAGGACGGCAGGATCACGGTGAAACACCTGCCGCCCAACGTCTCCAGTCTAATCCAACCCATGAGTCAGGGGATTCTCACCACGGTGAAGAGATACTACCGGACAGGCCTGCTCCAGAAATACGCGGGCGGAGGGGCTGACCCAAAACTGTTCTGGAAGAACTTGACGGTATTGGATGCAGTTCATGAAGTCGCCAGGGCCTGGAGCCTGGTCAGATCGAGCACTGTCACCAGAGCGTGGAAGAAACTGTTCCCCGGCAGCGGAGAGAACTCGGGCATGAGTGTGGACGCAGGAGCCATCCTCGCCGCAAATTTGGCAACGGTTTTGCAGAATACAGAAGACTGTGATCATGTTGACATTGAGAACATTGATCAGTGGTTCGATGCGCGCAGTAGTGCCTCCAGCTGTCCGGTGCTCGCTGGCAGTGAAGGTGCGGGTGGCCAGGGCCCTCGGCCTGAGCAAAGGGTTTCCAGTCAGGCGAAGAAAACAGAGCTGCTGAATCGGCAGAAGCATATCAGTCATAAAGTCGCGCTGGAATGGACGGACAATCTCCTGAACTACCTGGAGCAGCAAGATGACATGCTCCTGTCTGATAAACTGGTCTTGCGGAGGCTCCGAACTATAATAAGGAGAAAACAGAAGATCCAGATGAACTGACGTCATGGATTCTCTTCAGGGTTTCGAGGACTGCATCTTTGGCTTTTATCTAGCGGTGGAATTTTAACTATCTTGTTTGAATGCTGTGTATTCCGAGACCAAATACATTTTATAAGTGCTACTAGGGTTAGATCCCGTTTGGGGTTACTGACGTCACTGCTGTCGAATGTTGATTTGGGTAATTTAGCGTTGACATGTAACTGACCTATCTGCTGTTTTTTTAATCTGTATTTTACTAAATAGATCATAAGGTACCTGAAGGCAGGGATCCTAATTAGGGCTGCTTTGTGCCTGAATTTTATTGTGTCTTATAGGAGATCATGTGCACTATAGGCAATCAATAAATCTTGGCTAAAATTCTTTTTTTTTTTATTGCCCTCCTATAAACTTCAGCTCCTAAACTGAAATAACTTAAGGGTAAGTTACCGTTTCTCTTTGAGTTTCCCCCCTGCTGAAAATTCTAGGATCAACTGAAATTCTAACTGAAGAGAAAGTGGGAACTGAGCTTTTAATAAAATTCTATACCCGTAGTATTTTGGTGAGCAATTCAGATTGACCAAATCTGAGTTCAGTGACATGAAGGAAGAAATTAAGGTTAAAATGTCCCAAGGGAAAGGACTTGTTCTTTAATATGTCTTAACAGTATGTAACAATGTCTTCATAGTTGTGTGATAGAATGCCGTCTGTGTTCTAGAGAAAAGAATTTTAATTCTCAAAACTTCATCTTTAGAAGATTGAAGGGTTAACTTTTATTATTTGATCCTTTCTGAGGGTAGGTATAATTTTTCTTTTAAAGGCTGTGCGAGTAATATTTCAAACCTATAAAGTATGTTATTCCTGTACTACATTATTCTGTGAGAAGAGAACGGAGAGTAGAAGCATCGACATACTCTGTGGACCCATTTTAAGAAATGCAACTGTCGGGGCTGGAGCGATAGCACAGCAGGTAGGGCATTTGCCTTGCACACGGCCGACCCAGGTTCGATTCCCAGCATCCCATATGGTTCCCTGAGCACCGCCAGGAGTAACTCCTGAGTGCAGAGCCAGGAGTAACCCCTGTGCATTGCCAGGTGTGACCCAAAAAGCAAAAAAAAAAAAAAAAATGCAACTGTCCTGGAATGCGACGGGAAACTGCACTGTGGAGGAGCGTTGGTTGCTGCCTGCCCTTGGGTAACCTACTGGCTCATAGATCAACTAGGAAACATTTGTGAGAAATAGTGTATGGTGGGTTTTTTTTTTTTAACGTGGGTTTAGGGTAGCACTTGGCCTCGGCCTGATTGAGTGGTGAGTGGTCGCTGCTATTATTGACATGCTGAAATAGTGAGTTTGGGAAGCAGACTCCACAGATCCAGTGTGTGACTCAGCCCTGGTATTCCAGCGTTGGGCAATCCTGTAGAGAAGCGATTCTTCCGGCTCTGCACCCCCCCTCCCCCTTGGTCCAGAGGTGGTCTGTGGGGTGGGAGCTGAAACCACCACTAGTGGGAAGTGAGAGAAAGCAGATAAAAATAATGACCTTCGGCAGAAGTACAGTTCTAATTTGTTTCAGTAAAAATTGACAGGTTAATCATTTAGCACCATTTAGAAATCACTTGCTAACTTACCATCAGTAGTGAGGTACAGTGAGATGTGGTCATATTGAAGTTTGAATTATAAAAGTGAGCGATAATGAGATTATAATTATTTTTTAGTACTGCGATTTACAATTCTGTTAATTATTCTTCTCATGTACATGTCATTCTCACAGCACAAGCATCCCAAGAGAGTCCTCTTCTCTCCACCACTGTCCCAAAGTAGACAAAATCTTCCGTGTGGGTGACTTTGTTTCTTTATGTCCCACACATGAGAGATTTTAAAAGATAAATGGAGGTGGTGACACATCTGTAGATGGGTAAAGGAAGCTGAAGTGACATTCCACACACAACCCAAAATATCTTTCTAAGCATATAAGCTTAGGATAGTATGAAAAATTTACTAATACATTTTAAAATTTATGTGAAATAGATAATTCCTACAAATACACAAGAAGAATTTTTGAAGGTTAAAGAAAAATCTGAACGGACCTATAAATGTATAAAAGCGTGTTTTTTCCTGAAAAGGGAATTATTGACTGTAGGGTAGAAAATTAATTACAGAGAATGCTTTAGCATCTGCATTAATTAATAAGCAAAAAGTTGAAATAAAAGTCTCTAACAGTAAAAAATAAAACTCAAATAGACACATAACATTCCATACAAATAAAACAATTCATTATCAGCTGTTGGTACCCTGCCAGTGAAGCGTATTGAGGTTGACATTGTTTACCAAAGAGATTCTATACTACTAATAGTGGGTCTATTCATAGAAGTAATAAAATACCTTTAAAGGCGAAACAGTACTAAGCTGGACATTTGCAATACCTAATCATATTAAAAATACTAAATCAGTAGAAAATAAGAACAAAAGTACCTTTCACAAAAGAACTTGACTATTAGGGCCTAGGAACTAGTACAGTGCGTAAGGTGCTTGCTTTGCCGGAGAGAGACCCAAGTTCAAGCACCAAATAGTGTCTCTGAGCCCTGCAGGACATGAACCCCAAGCACAGTCTTGAGCACCCTCAGATGTCACCCCACCCCCCCAACTGAAAAAAAATGGAGTAATTAGATTAGGCTCAGTGCTCTATGGGGCACTTGAGGTTCTCAAATCCTAGTAGTGTTTCGTGAGTCTCACTAGAACTCACTTTTTGTCTTTTGAACTCTACTTTGGATTTGTGAAACATCTTTTCAGACTACCTCTTTCCAATCCACTTTTGGAGAATATATACATTTGTTGTATATTAGGAAGATGTGTTTATACAATGTAAGATTCTGAAACTTGGTAATGACTTAAATTTGAATGAATGCATTTTTTTTCAGACCTTCCCCCCCCCAACAAAAGAATGTCTAAAGTTTCCCGAAGTCATGAGATTGAAATGATTTCATTTCGTTTTATTATGCTAGCTAGTATGAACTGCATTTCCATATTTCAATTTAGTACAGAAATCACTTCCCTTTCCAGATGTTACTTATGTTTTGCAGCTTTAGGGATCAAATGCAGAACCTCATACTTTGGAAGGTGTCCTATGATAAATTTTCACTAGGTCTTTTGAGGTGATGGGGTATGTTTTGATTAAGCAGTGCCTCTTAGATGTACATATTGATGTGTAGACATTGATGTATAGGTATAGCTGTAGATATTAATGTGTAGATAAGATGTATATAGCGTAGATGCAGAAATATATACATAGGTCTGTAGATATTGATGCATGCATCTATATATATTCATGCATATTAATGTGTATATAGGTGTCTGGTTGTCGATATATAAATAGATGTAAATATAGGTATATATGTATAGATGTATTAGATAAAGACACACAGATATGAACGTATATAGAGATAAGGATGTATAGCTGTAGATATATACATAGAAACAGATGTGTGTATAGATGTCGCACCGCACTGTAGCACTGTCCTCCCGTTGTTCATCGATTTGCTTGAGCGGGCACCAGTAGCACCTCCATTGTGAGACTTGTTACTGTTTTTGGCATATCAAATATGCCAGGGGGAGCTTGCCAGGCTCTGCCCTGCGGGCAGGATACTCTCGGTAGCTTGCCGGGCTCTCCAAGAGGGACAGAGGAATTGAACCCAGGTTGGCCACGTGCAAGGCAAATGTCCTGCTCGCTGTGCTATTGCTCCAGCCCGGGTATAGATGTACTATAGATTATGTAGATACAGGTGTATGCATGGATACAGAAACGTTGATTGACCTGTCTCGGCAGAGCTGTGTGTAATTACAGAAGCAGAGATGGAGATGCAGATGTGTAGATATCCTAGTTTAAGTTTTTTGGGAGTAATATGCTCTCAGTATCATTGAAGGGACAAAATCCTTGACTCCTCTCTGAACCTAAGTTTGTGAATGGGTGGCAAGTTCCGTGGACACACTCTAGGTGTTCATTAAGGCCATCTGTTAAGGCTGCCAGTCGAGAGCTCCTGATGACTGGACCAGCCCTCTGTGACTGTGAAGACCTCCAAGGGGCCCGGAGCCCTGAGATCTAGGTAATGTGTCTGTGGCCGTGGGTGTACAGCACAGAGTTCCTGTGGCCTTAGGAGCCCAGCATGTGGCCCTTCAGTAAAAAGGGGAGCTGGGGCTGTGGGCTTGGGTGCTCTGGGAGCAGAGGCAGGAACCCCAGCGGCATTGAGCCCGGGTCTCTCTGGGCGGGTCTGTCCAGCAATTTCTCAGTTCCTACTGCTTCCCTCAGAGTAAGTGTGAGTGTCCCTTTGACTCTCAACTTTCCAGCTTAGAGCAGTCTTCAGACTGTGCGACCTGGGAAAAAGGGAGTTGATCTGCTTCAGATCACACAACTGCCAGTCAAACAAGGGAGTAGACGCCTCTCAGCTCCCAGGCCCTATAGCTAGGGCTAGGGAGGGGCTCCCTCTGGACAAGGAGCCCTGAAGGGCCAGCTTGAAGACTCAGCTCCACTTCCTGCTGGAGATCAGTACTTGGTCTGTGACCTTAACTCAGAAGCACATTCCTTAAGGAAATCCCTTGCCAGAGGACTGAAGGGTTCCCAGAACAGGGCCAGAGTGATAGTACAGTGGGTAGGTGCTTGCCTTACGTGCAGTCAACATGGTTTTGATTTGTGGCATCCCATGAGGTTCCCGGAGCCCCCCCCCCCCCACACACACACACACTGATTCCCGAGCACAGAGCCAGGGGTAAGCCTTGATACCTTTGGGTGTGGCCCCACCCAATAAAGGACTGCCCATGCAGAGGCCCTGTGTCCACTATGTCCCAGGCACAGTGCCATTTGCTGTGTGACCCTCAGTGTGAGTCCATCCAGGTTGCTTCACCAGTCTTAGAGGGAGTCCCTCAAGGCAACTGGCAGGCACGCGTGTGTATGTGTGTGTGTGTGTGTGTGTGTGTGTGTGTGTGTGTGTGTGTGTGTTGTTACTGGGGAGCCTTAAACACCCAGGGCAGGTCATCCACCACTGAGTCATGGGGACCTGATCCTAAAAGTTACCTTAAAGATCATTAATGAGACACGCAGGGACCAGAGAGGTAGCGCAGCAGAAGAGACACCTGCCTTGCATGCTGCCAACCCTGGTTCCACCCCCCAGCACTAGGTCTGTCCCCTAAACTCCACCAGGAATGAGCTCAGAGACAGAGCGCAGTCCCTGTGGTGCTGGGCCGCAGGGCTCCTTTTGTGGGGGACTCTAGAACATCTTTGACTCAAACTTGGGGGTCCACGTGGTGCCAGGGAGAGAACTTGGGGGTTTGGGACACATACCCTGCCCCTCGGAGATGTCTCCCAGCACTCTTGCTGCATTTGGTCATTT